GTTTCTGTTTTTCAATACCAACTCGATCTCATGTCACTCCATTCCTAAACCGACGTGACTTGATGAACATGTCCACCAGACGGAAGCTTCACATCGCCTCCCTGCTCTTCGGAGTAGTTAAAACTGGGGAACCTTCTTACTTATACGACAAGCTCAATTTCTCACAGCGTTGCGTTAGAGCAGCACCGCGACAGCAACTACACACCGTACAACACTGCTGCTTTCCGTGGTAGTTTTCGTTTTTCCGCTACTAAGTGCTGGAATGATATTCCCCCCCCCCCCCCCCCCGATAAGAAACTCGAAAACCATAAATTCATTCAAGTTAAAATTTAAAATGTTTTTGCTCTCCTTACAAAAGTCTAGCACTTAGTTGTCACTCAGCATTTTCATCCCTGTCTCCACATCCCTCTCTCATACGCACACACGCACGCACACACGCACGCGCACACGCACATGCACACACACACACACACACACATGTACCTTTGTTTGTTTTTATTATGATTTTTATAACCTTGTTGTTTTGGTTTTTACTATCATTATTTCATATTTTGAGATCTGTTACTTGGTTTTTAAGATATTTGTGTAAGCTGACGGTATCGCCATCTACCTTCTTATATATAGGTTCCACTGAAAATCAGCTTTCATGAAGTTTCTTATTATTAAACTTCGTGAATTTAACGCTGAGTGGAAACCTTTTTGGTGCACTAATAGCATAAAATATTTTTATTCTCTTTGTAACTAAATTACTGTGTTTATGTCTTTTATGTGTTTTTTACGTTTGTGTACCAAATAAATATTTTTCTTTCTTTCTTTCTTTCAGTGAATACAGACTGAAATGTGCGAGAGAGACAAAGCTAATGTATGGCCAGTAGTTGTCTCTTTCTAGATTTCTCATTGGTCCACGTCACAGGTGGTCAGGAGAGTATCATTCGGCGCTGCATCTACAACTGTAAGCTTTCGGTCTTCGACTTGCAGGAAAGTGACAGGTATTGGCCGCACAGTCGCTTTGTGTCTTTCTAGAGAATGGTCACTTTTGTGAGGCTAACGCTCAGTCCATTGTCTCTATGTTTAAAAACTGCACACGGCTCTTGTGTATAGATAATTTTCATTTTGTCACATTTACCGTATAATCTGTCATAAATTCTTAATCAGCGCGCACTTTCAATTGTGTTTTAATAGATCTTATTATTTTTATTATATTTGACATGATAAAAGTGATAAAATCTCCAAAAATACAATGGTGTGTGCGTTCTTTTTTTTTCTTATAGGAAAGGGGGCGAACGAGAATGCGGCTCACCTGATGGTAAGTGACTACCGCCGCCGTTGAACAACCGTAACACCAGGGGAATTGCAGATGCGTTGCCGGCCTTTTAAAAAGGAGTAGGCTCTTTTCTTGAAGGTCCCTATGTCGTATCAATCCGGAAAAATCGCTGGTGGTAAACTATTCCACAAAGAAGTTGTGCGAGGAAGAAAACATCTTCTAAATCGCACAGTGGTGGACCGCCAATCATTCAGATGGTGTGGATGGTATCGGGAGTTCTGCCGCGATGTGCGTTCGTGAAATTTGGCGGCTGGGATTAATCCGAACAATTCCTCAGAGCACTCCCCGTGGTAAATGCGAAAGAAAATGCAAAGAGATGCAACATCTCTTCGCAGCACCAATGAGTCGAGCCGATCGGAAAGGACTCGGTCGTCGACGATTCGAGCCGCTCTGCCCTGGATGCGGTCAAGTGGAAGGAGCTGGCACTGGGGAGCCCCTGCCCAGAGATGGGAACAGTATTCCATGTGAGGCCGAACCTGCGTCTTGTAAAGTTGCAGGCGTTGTGCCGGCATGAAATACTGTCCCGATCTGCTGAGCACGCCAAGCTTTTTAGAGGCCAATTTGGCCTTCTCTACCAAGTGACCACGAAACTGCACGTCACTCGATATGTCGACGCCGAGGATTCTGATACTGGCTGAGGCAACAAGGGGAGTACCTTGAAACTGAGGAGATACGACAAAGGGGTTCTTTTTAGCGGTAAACGCGCAAACTTGTGTCTTCTGAGGATTAAGCTGGATTAGATTTAGTCGCCCCCAATCCGAGACTTTGTCCAGCAAAGACTCGACTTCAGACACAAGTTTGTTCCGGTACTCGGCGACGTTTTCCCGAGAAATATTGACACGGCCGGTGTATAGAGCATCACCAGTGCTGTCATCCGCATAATAATGAATGCTACCGGTTTGCAACATATCATTGATATGCAGAAGAAACAGCGTTGGTGATAGCACATAGCCTTGTGTAACACCAGCGTTAATAGGCTTGTAGTCGGAGCATGCACCGTCTACAACGACCTTGATACTCCGATCTGCAAGAAAGCTAGTGATCCAATTGCATAATTTCTCGGGAAGCCCATAGGAAGGGAGCTTCGAAAGAAGCGCTTTGTGCCAAACCCGATCGAAGGCCTTCGCAATGTCCAAGCTAACGGCCAATGCCTCCCCCTTGGACTCTACTGCCTCCGCCCATCTATGAGTTAAGTAGACCAGAAGATCAGCAGCTGATCAACCCCGACGAAAACCGTATTGGCGGTCACTAATCAGCTGGTGATCCTCAAGGTATCGCATGAGGTGGCAGTTTATAACGGATTACATCATTTTGGAGAACAAGGGGGTAATGGCGATAGGCCTGTAGTTGGACGGGTCTGAACGGTCGCCTTTTTTGGGGATCGGATGGACAAAAGCTGTCTTCCATGATTTCGGGACTACGCCTAGGGAGTAGGAGTACCGGAAATGACGCGTTAGAACCGGTGCCAACTCCCGAGCACACGTCTTGCCCACTCATACCCACTCGACTTGTGGATGTCCAGGGAGAGGAGTGCTCTGCGAACCGAGCGCTGTGAGAACCGCACATCCGGCATGGAGCACTCACACCGCGGGATGGTCGGCGGTGTGTTCCCCCCGTCATCAACAGTCGAGTTGGACGCAAAAAGGGAGCCTAAAAGGTCGGCTTTCTCTTTTGCGTCGTGGGCCAGTGAGTCGTCCTCCCTGTGCAGAGATGGTAGTGATGCCTTACAGAAATTCCTTGAGTGAATGTTGATGTTGCAGAAATTCACGGATAGCGTGGCAGGGGTAGGCTTGGTCATGTGGCTTAGTTTGCCCCGAGCAGTTATTGTGTTGAGCGGAATTTCGCCCCCCCCCCCCCCCCCAGAATACGCGAGGCAGCCTGAGCACCCACGCTCAGGAGTGGAATAGCATGGTCGTGGATGCTCAGCGAGGGATTCTCCAGGGGTGCTGGTACCCTCCTGGTGTAGTCTATCATTTAATTCCGCTACCATGTTGATGGGGGAGGGGTGGAATTGGGCCTCCGGTCACCTGCAATCATCAGACGAAACGCGAAAGCAGAGCTTCCACTTCACGCCGGTATTCTGTGAGGTCGTGGTACTAACCCGGCTCGAGCCGGCCCATACGTGCAACAGCAAAAGCTGCTGCGTGGCCAGCAGCAAACCACCTTTACCAGCGTTCAGTTTTAAATTAGTCAATCTCTACTATTACGTATGTTTTATAGTATTATGTTTGTATTTTGTATTTGTATTCTGCTGTACATATAAAAATAAAATTTAATATTCAATTTCCAATTCAAACCCCTTTTTTATTTAAAAATTATTTAATTGGCAATCTATATAACATAAGCTGTGTCTCAGTCAGTTTATAAATTAGGTAGCTGGCAAAACGTATCGCTAGCCACGCAGTGACGATAATAGATATACGATAAATATTAATAGCAAGGAATTAAGTGCTGAAAGATTATTGAGGTCGAATGTAGATTACGGTAATACTCTGGTAATTATAGGGTCCGGAACCACCATTACCTTACTATAAGGTATGAACGGCATTTTTTGTTCTTTGTCCAGTTATATATTATAAATAAGATAGGTCGAATCTGTACTAAACCGAATCAGAACGCCCTGGCTCCACGTAACCTTGTCTGTCCTACACCTAGAGTGTATTTGTAAAGCCGTAGGCGTGGAGGGAAGGCAGCCCCCGTTCGCAGTAGCAAATCGCAGTGGCTGAGGCTGGTCGCCCCAAGCGAGCAATAAGCCGAAGCTGCGGAGGTGAGCATGGGTGCTTGTGATTTGCTACGCAAGGGCGAAGGGGATGTACTTCTCGCAGCGTCGAAGTCGCTGCCGAAGTAACTATGTTAATATTCCTGTGTAATAAAGTGAGGTTATGATTTTACAAAAAAAAATTAAGTACTCATAAACTATACATTTTCGCAAGATGGGAAGCGTAGGGCTTCCCTAGAACATCTTTGGATGTACAGAAACTCCGTAAACGAAATGCGTAAATATAAAATGTAATCCATTAACATATTGTGAGGAACTTTGGAACAAATAATTATTAATGATAGTCTCCTAATACTTGACACTGACGATAGTACAATCGTACGAAGCAAGTACCAAGGAATAAAATACATTTTGAGTTTTACATTAGAAGTCAATCCTCGAACGGAAAGTTTTGGCGGGAACTTGACCAGCCGCGGTTCGCTGCTCCTGTATTATAGTTTCTGCGATTGCGATTTTATGTATTAACTGTCTACGCATGTGAACTATTAGTGGAAACGGTGAAACAAGTGCTCTGATAGTGATGGATTCTCAAGATAAGCTGTTTGTTTGCATAGGCGCCTTTAGATACCATCGCCAACTGTCTGCTGTCTGCTGGCTCAAGTTACCGTCAAAATCTCCTAAGGACTGCACAATCTGACGCATCAACATATTGTGAAGCAGTGAAATTCCATATATTCAAAATAAAAAAGACAAGGCTGTATAGCGTAGTTCCTTTGCCTGCTCTTTCGAGCGAATAATAAAAACAACAACAATCCTCGAGCTGTCAGTGTCACTGTCATCTGCCATCCCATCTGTACTGCATCAAGTCTGAGCAGAAAACTGATTTGAAAATAGGAAAATGTAAATGATAATTTTTGTGTTGTGTCACTGTTATGAATAAAAATATAAAAATAGACAATGTCTCTAGTATACAAATGTGTAATTGCCGGCTTAGTAAGATACTGGCTTATTCACATAGACTATTGGCAGACAATAGCTAATAGAGTGGAAATAGCTACTCCTTTAAATTCCTGGAAGAGATTAATTGAAGGTGTTTACTTGTACGACAATAACATCAATCCTTATGAAGGTGACTCTTTTCACGAATCACCATTGATGTTGCTATTCTTCCACTTTGTAATGAAAAAAACTCCGTACATACTGCCACTTCTATTTACAATTTTTGACTTAACTACTGGTCTTCTATTATACAAAACATCGAAATCGTTTGCGCAGATGTTTAAAGAGTCACAAGATAAAGTTAAAGATGATATAAATGCAGATTCTAAATCCATGCTCCTAAGTAATTCAAAATTAAATGAAGCACCTGAATATGTTCTGTCTGTATACCTGTTTAATCCGTACTCTGTACTAAACTGCGCTGGCATGACAACTACAGTCATTCAGAACTTATTAGTTGCGGCATCATTATGGGGAGCCTCAAGTGGTTACAGAATATTGGCTTGTGCATTCATTGCCCTTGCTACACATCAAGCCTTATATCCAGTTCTGCTTATAGTTCCTATTGCAATATTATTAGCAGATATAAATAAAGGATGTAATAAGTGTTCATACATAAGAACTTTATTAGTTTTTGTACTATGTTGGGGATTCTTGATATATTTTTCAGCATATATAATGGATGGATCATATAAATATGTATACAATACTTATGGATTTATGTAAGTTTTTATTTTAACTTAATTAAAAATTCTCTAAACTGAATTTTAATAAATTAAGATACAAAATGAGAGAGAGTAAACACATTCTGAGAGCAAAAGACTTAAAGAAGTAGTTATTAAGTAGTATTTAAAATAAAATAAGTTTTAGTTTTGGGCCTGCTTTCACTGTACTGTGCATCTAGCATGATGAATATGCTTAACTAAAGAAATCCACATTATATTATTGTATTATTGTATTTTTCCTTAGGTAAGGGTTCCAATCAACAGTCAGATTATAGGAAGTCAGTTTATGTTACTCCATAATCTATTAAATGCTATTGATTTTTAAGGTATAGAAGTTTACTTTAATGGCACTATAACTATATTAAGACTTTCAAATTATGTAAAATGATAAGTTTTATGTATAGAGGATTGGTATGTTGTAAAATGAAAGAATTGTCCCAAAACTAAAACTTCTTTTATTTTAAATATTAACTTAATAATCCACTCCTTAACTTTAGTTTCAAAATGTGACTGCTCCCATCTTGTATCATTCTCTTTGTCTTTACTTTATGACTTACCCTTCATTCCTCTGTTTCATTTCTCAACCACTCTTCTATTTATGGTCCTTCACTCATATGTCTAGATACACAGATAATCAATCAATCCTTTAAGCATAAATTAGAATTGAAAATAGAATGTTTCTTTACTTACAAAAATATATCTTTGTTTCAGATTAGCAGTGCCAGATCTAAAGCCAAACATTGGTCTATTCTGGTATTTCTTCACTGAAATGTTTGAACATTTTAGGCTACTGTTTGTATGTGCATTCCAGATAAATGCATTAGTACTATATATTGTTCCATTAACCCTGAGGTTTAAGAAAGAGCCTGTCCTTCTGGCCACAGTGTTGATAGCATTGTCAGCCATATTTAGATCTTATCCTTGTGTGGGTGATGTTGGATTTTATTTGTCTCTATTGCCTATGTGGAAGCATTTATTTACATGTATGTCATATGCATATAAATATTGTATTATATTAGTGTTAACTGAATAATTGACCTTTTTAACTAATTGATTGTGTCTTTTCAGTTATGCAACAGAAGTTCATCGTGGGATGTGCATTTATCATAACATCAGCACTTGGACCGACAGTATGGCATCTATGGATTTATTCTGGTTCAGCAAATGCTAACTTTTTCTTTGGAGTAACCCTTTCATTTGCAACTGCGCAAATTTTCCTAGTAACGGACTTATTGTTTGCTTATATAAAAAGGGAGTTTACACTTAAAAATGGATCATCTCGTCAGATAGATGGAAAACCTGCAAAATTAGTTTTACGATAATCATGTTGCTTGTTTTTATTTTATTACTTGCATTTATCAGTAGATTTTATTACTTCATTAGTTCAGTTTGAGTTATTTAATAACAATTAATATTTTTAAATTCTAGAACAAATGTGCTACACATGTATTTATTGTAACTCATTTTTTTAATAATTAACTTTTTCTGTTTATAGAATGTTACAGTAATGCTGGTTACATGATTGAAAAATTCACAATTATATTTCAATGACATGTGATTGTGAAGTCCACTAATTTACACTAGCACAGATCTATTTCTAATTCATAACCTTAGAAATTAGATGAGGCTTGTACCCAGCAGTAAGATATATGTAAGATGCTACAAGCTAAGAATTAATTTTTTGAGCACAAGTATCTTCAAAATATTGATCAATTAAATAAATATATGTAATACAGATATGGATTTGTTGCAGGTAAATTGTTGTGAACAAGATTATATTAAAAAGAAACATATTCTTTTTTACAATTTGATGTATTGTCACCAAAATTTTTAATTTTTTTAGTGTACAAATAATTCAACTAAGATTATCTTATATGAGGTGTGTTGTTTTAATGAGGGCTAATAATCTTCCACTCACCAGATGTCGCTAGTTGCGACTGAGGTAAAGTCTTTTGTTACACAATGTCAGTTAACTTGAGAAATTAGTTTTATGATAATAGTTTATCATTATCTTGAATATTATATTAATACGCAACACAGTGCGTCAGTAGTGTGCTTTTTAATTTTTTGCACTTTATAACTCTTTTAAAATAAAATCGGCTTTTAGTTATATTTTATAGTTTGGTTTATTCATTTCTAATGTAATTAATATAAAATATAACTAATAATACAGAAAGAAACCTTAAAGATTACATTTTTTCAAGAAATTATCATCCTCGCTATGAAATCTGTCAAATATTTTACCTCACTGTAAAGTGGCGCTGCCCTGGTGGCAGAAAAAGTCGTGGATGCCCTCATTTGTAAATGACAAATATGCGTTTTTAGTTTTATGGTAGTAAAGTCAAGCCGCAAGTGATAATCAAATTGTATGTGAAACAAGTGCTATTGTAGATACATACTTATATGTTTAAATCAAAATTACTATATTCTTAATATTTTGGTAGTATTTAATAAAGTACCTACTAGAAAAAAGTTGAATTCTGAAAAGGGTAATCAAGTTGCACAAAGGGTCATTCATGGTTAGTTTGAATGTAAGCAATGACTCGTTGGAATGATGTATAACAATATTATATTAATATAATATAAACAACAAACAAAATATCATAATCCATTTCAAAATACTCTAGTGTCTGTCACGCAATCTCATTTCCCAAATGGGTATTGCTAAAGCCGATTTAGGCCCTACAAAAGATTGCAGTATATTCAGCTCGTATTTATTCATCATTATATAAGTTACCCAGACCGGCAACAGGAGACAAGGTCAACGGTGTAAAATTGCCAAGCGTGATGATCATGACAAACAATAGGTTTTTGTTCAGCGTGGATTTTTTATAGGCTAACAAGGAGAGGAGGATTTTGTAATATCCGTATGTTCATATGAATTCCAATTTTTATTCCTGTAATGTAATATTTTATTTATACTCATTAAAAACGAGAATTAACATTCTGCATGCTTTAATTTCATAAAAATTTGTTATGCCGAGTTTTTCGTCGGCTGCAAATTTTGTAGTAAAAGTTATTTTCGCTTAGTGTTTATTTCTATTTTATTAAAGTACATACTCCAGGCGTTAGCAATATTATGTAAACTTGGTCAATAAAGTAAACAGAGACTGGTGTTGTGAAATGTAGTCGAAGGAGTTTATTGTCAATAAATAAAAATGTAATTTATTTTTATACTTTGTTGTTCTTTATAAAAATCATAGGTACATACAGTACTTTGTAAGTATACCTAAAGCAATGATCGTAAGATAGTGACATCATCATTTTTATCATCATTTACCCATATAAGAAAACTAGTTATTTCTGGCCTAGTGGTAACAGAGTACCTGGCTATAGTCAGTGTGCAGAGGGTAAAACTCCTGTTTCTGCCACTAAATAGTAGTGATTGCATTGCTGTTCCGGATTGAAGGGTAGATGACCAGTGTAATTACAGACTGTGATGCATTTTATCTTAGTGCTCAGAGAAGACAATGCACCTGTAGCCTTCCGCTTTTAAAGTTGGCTGCAGGTTGCCACGGACTGCAGTGACCACTTACTGATGGACTGTAAGCTCGATTACGTAACTTCAGATTCCAAAATAAACATTGTCTCTAATTGCTGGCAGTCTGCGAATGAGGCGATACAAATGTAGAATTCATAAAAGCTTAGAAAAAATTTACTTCGCAAACATCCGCGCTATAAAATAAAATGATGTGTCTTACCTAGTATGAAGAGCTCCTCCCACCCTCCCTCAATTGCGTGCACTATCCCAGTCACCACTAATCCCAGCACCGCTACTCCCAACACCACTACACTAGGCAAGACACACCACTGACGACAATACGACACGTGTTTCGCCTCTACACGAGGCATCTTCAGGTGACACCTCTTCATACTAGGTAAGACACATCATTTTATTTTATAGCGCGGATGTTTGCGAAGTAAATTTTTCTTAAGCTTTTATATAATGGATTTCCGCAAAGTAACGCCTGATTCTATTAATTATAATGTGGAATTCGACGCCACCAAAATCTATTCACCACTAAAAGGAGCCTACTCGCCCTGGCTCCTAATTCCCGCGTGTCTTGTCAGTCGTAAGCATAGGCGGAGTGTAATAATATCCTCCAGACCGAAATTGGGTCACGTCGGCCAGTCTTAATGGACATTACCCATTTGTACAGAACAGGATTATAGTGCCCAAGTGTTGCGAAAGCACAGGTGTACTCTGTATTCCCTCACTCTCATAGTCCAATAGAACGACAAACCGACACGATCGGAGAAAGATCAGGCGTAGAACCAACGGCTATCCGAGGCACGAGGCTAAAACACCGCCAACTTCCCGAGTCCAGAATAAAAATAATTTTCCAGAAACGTCTGGAATTGAAAATTTTATTTATTAAACGCGATAAAATCCGTAAAAATAGTTTTATTTCATGTGTAGCATTCGTGTAAATATAAGAAATGCCTGATTTCGGACTGCTACTTTTTTTATAGGAGAGGGGGCAAACGAGCATGCGGGTCACCTGATGGTAAGTGACTACCGCCGCCTATGAACAGCCGCAACACCAGGGGAATTGCAGATGCGTTGCCGGCCTCTTAAAAAGGAGTAGGCTCTTTTCTTGAAGGTCCCTAAGTCGTATCTGTGGTAAATTTCTTGACATAAAACCCAGTAACTGACCTTTCCGGCCCGACCGGGATCTGAACCCGGGACCTACTGATCAGCAGCCGCGTTTTCGAACGCCAATCCAACGAAGCGTAGATTAACCAACCCAGATGTTCTAGGATCTCTAAAAAACACTTTTGTCATGAGACAACCAGTTGTTTCGTAGGTTGTGACTTCCTACACGTTCAAATTAAACGGTTTGCTTCGTTGTTGCAATGCGTACAACAAAGGAATGAAATAGTTTACTAGCGTCTGTCATTCCCTCCGATTACAACGTGTGTGTCTTAAAAGCAAGAGTAAATAAGCACACAGTGCATAGCCACGAGTGGACTGAAGTATTCAACGTTCCAGTGTAATAATTGCTAACAACGCCTACCTTCAGCTTATCATGAGTGCAGCAAAGTACTCGAAACGTTGGGAATATAAAAATTAAACGCGTTAAATTCCGTTAAAAATCTAATTTCATCAATACTATTGTTAATTTTGTGTTTTGATGGTGTTAAACCAACGTTAGAAGCGTGCAAAGCGTATTACACCGAAAATATTAGACAGCCGCTTCAAAAATCCCTCATTAAATGAATTGCTTACAATTGGATCCTACAATGGTATAGTGAGGAGAGCCTTTGTTAGTTCAATAAGCGTAGTTAAGTTTCTGATACCATGATCTCTGGGGCAGGTAGCTCCCGACTATTTAGATTATCTTTTGTCTCTCCCACGTTGCGTTTCTAATACGTAAACTACTAAAATTACAATAATAACAATCCTTATTCATTTAAAACCACGACATTTGGTTTAATTCAACCATATATTGTTATTTAAACATGTAATTATAAAAAATTGCACGGGAGTTTAATTCCCTCGTCGCACAATGATTTTATCTTATCTATCTGCTATCAGACACTCCCTAGCGCGCGACAATACAGTGTAGTTTCAACTTTACACCTGTAGAATAATGTATGTTAAATAGCTAAAACAATGGTGAAGAAACTCCTATTATTTGTTTTAATAATATATTGTGAGTATTTATGCCAGATAAATGAACAAAGTTCATATTATAAATTAGTGAAAGTTTTATATAAGTAAGGATTATCAGCAGTTTTATATTTTGTGGTTCTTAAACTCCGTTGTTGAAAAAAGTAAGAAGTGAAAAAAGTCTGTTTTTATCGCACATTTCAAGATTTACCTAATTATTATCATGTTACACGTGTATGTTTCAATTTTCTTTATAAACAAGCAGATAGTAATATATACGTATAATTATGTATTTGTAATACGTTTAAAACCCTAAGCGTTAATCATATAAAAACTAAAATTATGACATTTAAAAAATAATTAATTTTGTTGATTTCAGTAATAATGCATATGGTTCTCTAATTTAAATATAGATAATCTTAAAGTAAGTAGCACAGAAATTATCATTATAGCTCATTACATCTTGTTAGGCTATTAAAGATAGGTACTGTTGAATATTAGGCCAAAATATGTACGCAAAACGACACAGTTAAAAGTATTCTCATACTCGTACCCACCACTCTGTGGTCAGGCGGATTAGTAAACGTAGAGCTATTACCCAAGCACTGGTAATATTGCCCTTCACAATTTAGGATTTGTGTCAACTTATGCGAATAGATTTCTTCCGTGAGACAGAGATTGTAGGGTGTATCTCGTATATACCACGTTTAATGTTTTCAAAAAAAGTTACTATACTTCCCTTTGCCATGTATACGTGTACCATGAATGCCGAGTAGTGGTAAGAGAATCCACTACCCCATATCATCTCGTGGAACCCAGTAAGAACTGAATAGGGAAATAAAACAGGAGATGCGGCATGTTCATGACAACAACTGGAAATAATAAAAATATGCCCCTTTTGAAGCAATCATATGGGGAAGGCCTAGGTTCGGCAGTAAACTTTTGATAGCCTGTAATTAATGTAATGTAAAAATATACTTATGACATAAGCGAAGAACATCATGTAACTATGTATTTGTTCTTATATTACATAGCTGGTGAAGCTGAAGTTATGTCAAGCGTGCCTGCTCACCTGATCGCTTGCTACCGCAATGGAGGCCCGCTTCTGAATGCACCGCATCGTATCGAGGTATTCCTGTCAATTGTGCGACGCTTAGAACTATCTGCTCGACTGGATATGAGATTGTTTAGTGCTTCCTTAATAAGAAGGTGTGTATAATTCTTGTTTTCGGATACAAATCTTTATTATACCTATTGATAAAAAGCCGCCAGTGTACAATACCAAAACATACAATTTATGCTACAAGTTTGATCTACCACATGAAATATTAGGCGGGTAATTTACCATCTGTTAATAAGCATAAGATATTCTTAACATTTCTCTTAGTCGATTAGTAATAGTACGAGTAATAATTTTTACGACATGCACTGGACGGGATAGGGATACACCTTACGCCGCCAGTACACGCCTGTAACACACTAATTTGCGTTTCAATTCAAATAGTAACATTTTCACTGACTGATTTTTTAGCTCTACTATGTAGTTTCAAATGTATATTGTTGTGAATATGAGTGTAGTTCACATTCACAGTGTAGTTAAACGTAGTTATGTGTGTTTTCAATGTGAACGTAGGTTCTTTTTCTTTATCATCATCAGTCCTTAAAATTCTCTCTCTTCTCGTCCCTAAATGTTGCTGCCCGTCACTTCTCTGGGTACTTTGTTTCTTATTTAAAATTTTAAATTATAATATTATATAGCTTTTAAACACAAGCTTTACTTACGTTTGAATTTAGGTCATCTTCTACAGTTATCTTGTAAAAAGTTTTAAATAGTTTGGAAAATCCAAAAGTGCACGCCTCGTGAGTGTTTCATTTAGTTTGTTGAAAAAAAAAAACAAATTACCAAAATAAATCGATTACACAAAGTATAAAATCGATATAGGCTGTACGGTACATTTGTCCTTTGTCTATCAAGGGCTAAAGAAAAAAATGAAAGCGCCTTTAAATTTTTGATAGCGATATAACTTATAAAACTTGAAAATCATTTTATTAAAAAACGACGCGAAACTAGGCTGTGGATATGAAATAGGGAAAAAGTTGATGTAATGCTGAAGCTAATAAAAAAAATCCGGTCTCGATACGTCAATTTTTTCGGAAGTTATTGTTACCACATACAAAATCAAGTAATTTTTTTTTCAAACCATTCTTTATCAAAGTAGCAATATAAAAAGATTTAAAAAAAAATATAAGAAATGCATTAATGACGGCTAATAATTTTCTGCTCACCAGATGTCGCTAGTAAAGTAAAAAACACCGAGGTAAAGTTTTTTTGTTACACAATGTAATTTCATTGAGAAGTTGTTTTTTAATAAAAGTTTATCAGTTTCTAGAGTATTATATTAATACACAAAACAATGCGTCAGTTGTTTGCTCTATAATTTTTTGCATTTTTTAACTTTTTTTATTTTTCTAGTTTTATGAATATCTGTGGTTTTATTTATTTATATTTAATGTTATTAATATAAAATATAACCAATAGTACAGAAAGAAACAATAACTTTTACTTTTTCCGAACAAATTAACTTCCCCGCTATGAAATCAATGTGGCAGAAAAGTCGTGGCTGCCCTCATTAGAGTGTTTTCTTGATATATGGCTGCTCATATTATCGTATAAGTGCAATATGACTATGTTAGAGGCATTTTAAGACCACAAAACTGCTTGACCTTGACGTGTCGAGAGTAATACCACAGAGTAAATATACTAGTACAGAAAGAAACAATAACTTTTACTTTTTCCGAACAAATTAACTTCCCCGCTATGAAATCAATGTGGCAGAAAAGTCGTGGCTGCCCTCATTAGAGTGTTTTCTTGATATATGGCTGCTCATATTATCGTATAAGTGCAATATGACTATGTTAGAGGCATTTTAAGACCACAAAACTGCTTGACCTTGACGTGTCGAGAGTAATACCACAGAGTAAATATACTACCTAATAACGATTTGCGTTATGAGACGTGCAATAAATATGTATGCAAGTACATCTCGGCTTTACGTTTTATCTTACATGTTTTAAATTTGGTTAAAAATTTTGAAAGTAAAAGCATTATCACAGAATTATTATATATTACTATGATTTAGGGAAATATAATATTCTGTGACACCAGATAGATCCTTTGCATGTCAGCCTTATGTTTGAAAAGTGTGTTGTAGTTCTAATTCCTAGTATTATTAATTATACTTAATATTAACCTAGAATTTTATTAACATAAAGTTAAGGCCAATATTCGTAAATCTACTAGGATATGCCTTTTCTGGTTTTTGAGAGGGTTTTGGGTTTCAGGCGAGCACTTGTCTATCCTATTTATGAATAATACGAACATATTTATAATTTCGTTAATACCTTTTCAATATAGATTCCGTCTGGATGGCATACAACAAGCATCGAATCCAGTTGAAACAGAATTTGTGCTGCCATTTAGAGCATCAGCATTTCAGTTTAATAAATTTAAGCTCCTAATGGATCTGTTTTTGCCGAGTCAGAATCTTTTAGATATGGATGAAAGTCTATCACTGATAGAAAGCTGTTTATTACATAAACTATTGAGTTCAATGGTACAACCGTGGGAGAGGGGTGACGAAAATTTGACTTGTCCAGTGTCTACAGAACACAGACAGAAAATGATAAACGATAGCGCCAGTAGGTATGTTTAAATATCATTGTATTATATTATTAGTATTTAAGGTAAAAATTAAATTCGATGATTAATTCGTAGAAGCGATAACCATAAGGAAAGAAATATCCTCAAAGTCTGATAAATGTCGCCATTTTTGGATATACTTACTGCCACCGCCGGTGTCCAGCGGCTTGTACGTCATACTACCGTATGTAGCGTGACATTTGGTTAAGAACGCAATGAACTGGATATTTATCTAAAAATATTATTTTCCAGAATATACAGTAGATGCCCAATAGAAAATGGCGTTATACAAACAGACTGGGGTCCCATAGCACCGGGTACAGTAGTGGCCGCTATAACAGCATCACTAGAATCGCAACGAGTGTCAATCACGGACATATTAAGCGCCAATATTTATAAATCAAAAGTATCAAAACCTTTAATCGAGTTAGCCAAGAGAGATTGGGAGAAACGAGTTGAAAAGCTAACTGCTGGCGACAACAGTGTAAATTTTGAAAAATCAAAAATAGTTAACAATGAAAATAACAATGAAATCAGTAATATATGGGTAGCAACGCTTGCTGGTAAGTTTCATTTCTTTAGAGACTTTTCTGAATAGTTCGGTCACCGATACTTACGCTTGATTCGTAGGTAATATACACCTGATACGAGTAGCATAGGCAAGGAAAAAACCAAGAAACTTTTAACGTGGGTTTAAATTTGCAAAGGAAAAAACTGGCTTTATTTTTTATTTCGCATAGTTTAAATACACATTCTTAAACTAAGTACATAAATTTGTCTTTACCTGTTGGAAGAAATATGTTTGGGATTCAGTGACACAAGAGCTTGATTACATGTTTTTGTCAATTTATCTGGAGGACTAAGAAACTAAACACGTCTTATGCTTATGTTTTTGCCTGAGTTCGTCGTCCTTCTCAAGGCTAGTCGACTAGTAGTTTCAATAGCTACTGAACTTTTTAAGTTAAGAACAATCTTTTATATTTATATTCGGCCGTGTAGTGGTGGCGAATCGAATCAAAATAATAAAATGTGGTTGCCAACAAAATTTGCAAAAATCTCCCCTGTGCGGCAATCTATGATAGACGGCTATGTTGTAATGTTGTAATGGAAAAGAATGTGTTCATTTCTAGGTGACTTAGCCGAAGTTGTTGTGAATCAAGGGCCTAGAGTGGGCGCATCGTCACAACATTTGGTGGTCGGTAGCAATAATAGATGGAATGATTCTGTTTTGCCTCGTACGTTTTATCTATTGCCTCAGAGCAGCGGCGTTGTTGACTGGCATTTTACAGACGCGGAAATTCTTGCGGGAATTGACGGTAAGAACAACCTCACTGGAGTATTTTTTTTTATTTGGAGGCAAACTACACTAAAGATTTATATCCACATAATATGTAATATAAGTTTTAGCGGCGTAAGAGAATCGAACATCGCCATTTCGCCCCGTAGATATCTTAAAAAGGTAACTATGGGAAACACGAAAAACATTTCATGTCCTCCGATAAAGACGGCTAACATTGTTCCACTCATCAGATGTCGCTACTTGACACTGAGGTAAAAGTTTCAGTCATTTAATGAGGGCTAATAATTTTCTGCTGACCAGATGTCGCTAGTTGACACAGAGGTAAAATTTTTTGGTACACAATGTAATTTAATTGAGAAGTTGTTTTTTAATAAAAGTTTATCAGTTTCTAGAGTATTAAATTAATACACAAAACAATACCTCAGTGGTTTTGCTCTTTAATTTTTTGCACTATTTACTATAGAATACTATAATATACAAGTATTATGGTATTCTATGTTTTTTACCTCTTTTGATTATTTTTCTACGTTTATTAATATTTGTGGTTTGGTTTATATATTTATAATCTAATTAATACAAAATATTTACATTTGTCGAACAAATTAACTCATTATTAAGTGGCGCCGCCCTGGTGGCAAAAACTCGTGGATGCCCTCAATGGCGGTATAATATACATCTTGTATACTTTCCAAATGTCTAAACTCAGACTAGCGACAGTTATTAGCTTTAAATGTGCAAAAAATCTGAAGACACAATAACCTGTTCTCTTGTCATGCTTGCCAAGATTTTTTTTTAAACTAAAGTGACTGTAAACTTACAGTCTACCTGATGGTAAGTGGCCACTGCAGTCCATGGACACCTGCAGTCAACTTCAGACGAAGAAGACCGCTACTACACTAACTATTATTATTATTTAAAATTACGAAAAATTTACATAGGCTGCGTTTGCTAGTACTTGCAGAGTTGCCGTTTTATAACCTGTCCTCTCTAACAGTTCTAAGAACTATGGGTATAAAAGCTGGATCTTGTTACTTGAGCTTAGTGATCCCTTGCATTTATTTATTTTTTATTGCAAACACCTTTAAATAATGGTATGGTATTTTTATCTCACGATGGCGGTTGTATTGGAGGTGCCCATGCACATTATTTTGGTATGCCTGAATATAAGGGCTATGTCGGTCTCAGATATTAAATGTTATGTCACCTATTATATAAATACATATACATCACAGGTTTAATATTAGCGAGCTACGTGCCTTCCTGGATAGAACAGCGCAGGTCGCTGAGGTTATCTCAAGTGCTAGAAATGTACTATTCAAACGAGGGAGTATCGTTCGACCCCACAGTGCGGGCTTGCAACCGACTCTCTTTGTACACAAATGCTGTGAACAGTTCACTGTTGACGTCGCAGACCTTGAGATTCGCACACATTTTGTCTCTGAAACAAATAACCGTTTATATACCATTAGAAGAAATGCAGAGAATGAGTGAAGCTGCTGTCACAGCTTTCATGGAATATGTCCGTGAGTATTTTGAATAAATACCGATATATTATATACATTATTAAAAAAACACACACTCATAGGCATATGGACATATGGATCTATGATTATAATAAAATATGTAAGTTTATAATTAAACACCACAAAATCAGTGAAATTAGTTATATTCAGTTTCTTTATTTTAGCGTCTGTATTACAAAGGTATCACCAGAATTGTCTGTCGAGCCATAATGTACCAGAGATAGACTTAATAGTCGCGACCGATGGCTCCTGGAAAGGATATGACGTAGAACAGTTTACGTCGTGAGTATATTTATGTACCTATACTAAGTTCTCTTAAGTAAGATTTAATTTAGTTAATTACAATTAAACTAATTATTTAACCATTCAATAACTATATATATATATTTCACCTTGCAGCGCCGGTGCAAGAAATCCACTACCCTATATCATCCCGTGGGTGTCGTAAGAGGCGACAGAGGGAAACAATCCAGGAGTTGGGTGGTATTGGGAGCAGTGACGTCCTACAACAAAAAATAAAAAATGCCGTAACGGTAACGGTAATTTTAGCACTATTAAATTCCAAAAAATTCACTTGATTATTGGTTATATTATATGAAATTGTAAAATGTGACATTTTAACTGAAATTCTTATTTCAACAATGTAAAATTTAATACGTAATTATATTAAGTAGGTACTTATTATCTTAAGCTACATCACTATTCATACATATAAAGTTATTCCCGAGAGGGTAGGCAGAGCCCAAAGAGCAGTAAGCTACTCGGATCAGGTTTAGCGAAAAAATATTTATTTATTTTCCAAAATTTGATTGTACACAACTTAAGGAAAAATACAAGATATTTTTTAGTTCAAATACCTACCTCTTCTGACCGCTGCACCCCTGATTAACAGACGAGGCCCTAACGACCTAATAGTGTCAAAAATTAATTTAAAAATACTGTTACGAACTTGGGGTTCGAGACAATAAAAACTGTCGAATGAATTACCAAAATTGACACTAATTACAGAACACTAATTACAACTCAAAATCACACTAATAACAAAATACAATTGTACTACTGATCACTTTAGTTCGCAGTTGTATCACTTCGAAATATTCGCTTGTATCGCCAATTCAATACTGACTCCGGTCGCGATCTATACCGGCCTTATATAGCGCCTCAGATAGTTCCAGAACCTTCTACTGTAGAAAATGTTCGAGTACATACCGGTCCCGATTGACTAGGTGTCGATAGTTCTAGAAAGTTCTTCCATGGAAATTTCTAGAAGAATTTTGACTCTCCTAGTTCTGCTACTCGATACTAGAAAGCGCTAGTGGTAACTAGTGTCGCCATGTACCAGGCCTTAATGCAATAATACTAAAACCAAAATTTATAAAGTACGAAGGTATCAGGTCTGCTCTCACCAATAAGAACTGCCAGTGAGGTGAGTATAGGCAACACTACCAAGCTTAGCTACCAAGAAATGCTAATGTCAACTTACATATCCTCGAAAAAGCTTATATCAAAGCGCTCAAATTTCATTGTAAGCGAATAACAAATTAATTCAACTGATGTTATATTATATATTCGCTATACGCTAACTCATTGGCACGGCAAATTTAAGTGCTTATTTATCACGTGTCTGGGTTCGGCGCTAAAATTAAAAGTAAAAAGTGTTTTTCCAAAATTATTTTATTTTCGATGCTTACGTCTCCAGAAAATCATAATATTATATATTTAAATGAAAACATCGTGAGAAACTGCGTATCTGAGAAACTTAAATATTTCGAGGATATGTAAAGTTTGTCAACATGTATTGACGAACATCTTTCAGAAATGATAGACCTGTGACCTGGAGTAGGATGTATGTTAACTTTTTATTTTTACTTTATATTTAATAATCCAAGTAATAATATGAAAAATTCTAATAAAACATATTTTATGCAGCTGGATCGGCAGAGCGTTGGAAATAGACCAGCAGAGAAGTACCGTAGGATTGCTTCACGGCAATACGGGTCGATGGATCGTCCCGCCATCTAACAACATGACTGCTTTCTTTAGTCATATCGCTAACTTCACTGACGAATGTACGTAAGTTGTGAGTTATGAAATACAAAATTGAGCGACAATAGTTTATTGGCTAAGGGTATGTACTACGTAAAAAGATCAACAAGTATTTTAGCTTAGATACCAAATCATCATAGCGCATTTTATTTATTTTATAGGTAATCTAAATAAATCTAAAAAAAAGCGTTACTTCCACAGTCGTATTTTCTCCTATAACGTAGAGGCAGCTTATTACCACATACAGATATACAAACACTTGCTCCGTGCGGGATTTGATCCCGCGGCCGTACAGAGCTGCGACCATACGCTTACCCGGTGCCTGCTGTCTACTCTACACTCCGTAGCCTACGGAGCCGTCAAATTACAGCCATTACAAGTCAAAACCAATTTAATTTCAATCGGTTAACTTTTTACTACCGTGGCTTAATATCCAATAAATAAAAATTAATTTTTGTTTGTTCGTATTTTATATTTTATATTTTTTTTGTACGTGGTAGAGCCATGCTGCAGCTATATTTCTGGTATAGTTGTAACACGAATGGGTCTGCTCGATCGGGGAAGGACCACACTCTCACAGAATACCAGCGTAAAATAGCAGTTTAACACTGCTGTGTTTCGTATGGTGAGTGTAGAGAACCGGAGACCCTTTTTACTCGAAAAGGGGCATTCTATCTTAGTATTCACGAGTGACAACGCATCTGCATATTGATTCGCAAACGAGGATAAATGTAGATATGTCTATTGGTCACAGCAACCACTTACCATCAGGTGGACTGTGTGCTCGTTTGTCACCTTTATCCTATTAAAAAAATGCGTTGACATTTCTAGAGTTGCCAATCATACTGTATAATAACGTATCCTACTAATATATATATATATATATATATATATATATGATATATACTTTTGCAAAAAAATAAAGTATGCCAAAATACTTTATTTCAAATCTTTACTGTGATGCGCAAAACCAAACACCTATACCTAATTTTTGAATGATTTATCGATTTTATCGATACCTGAGGTACAACAGAACGGAGTACACACGATTAAAATTATTATTTGTTACTGATCGAAACGGTAGATGTCAGTTATGACATGGATAGGCGACATCTACCTTTTAGTCATAATAGATACTAGATAAAAAGATAATACCTAGATAAAAATTAAAACTAAGCAAACCTAGATAGGTTTGCTTAGTTTTAATTTTTGTTCCCGCAACCTCAGCTTTTACTGAAAGAGCTTTTTCGGAAAGTGAAGTGGCGAGAAGAGAGAAACAGATCGTCCATAAGTTTAATAAAAATTTATTTATATTTTTAAATCTAAACTTAGATTGTAAAACTATTTTTGAAACTTTTAAAGATAACTAAAAATTGCTAGCGTGTGCTAAAAGCAAAAAAAAAGTGTATTTAAAGCAATAAAAACTCAAATTTTTATAGAATTAGGGTGACAAACGAGCACACAGTCCACCTGATGGTAAGTGGTTGCTGTGACCCATAGACATCTGCATCTATCTTCGTTTGCGAATTAAAATGCAGGTGCGTTGTCAGCCGTGAGTACTAAGATAGAATGCCCCTTTTCGAGTAAAAAGGGTCTCCGGTTCTCTACACTCACCATACGAAACACAGCAGCGTTGAGCTGCTATTTTACGCTGGTATTCTGTGAGAGCGTGGTCCTACCCCGGTCGAGCCGACCCATTCGTGCTACAACTGTACTATTAATATAGCTGCAGCATGGCTCTACCACGTAAACTAAAAAGTACTTTTTTTCTTGCTATTTATTTATTTTTTCTTATTCAAAGGATTAAATAAGTATTTTCCTCAAAAAAAAAGTTGACTACTCTAGCCAATCCGTTCATCAGATTGCAGTAAAACTTTGTCAACATAAAGATATGTACAACTTTGTGCATGAAAGATTAAATAAATAAATAGGTAAAGCTTCCGCGAAGGTTATAGGCATATTACAATTAACTTACAATAGGTGGCGCGCGTGTCGTACCGACAAAATTTGAAAGTTATGTATTATCATACCTACGGTATTTAAACAATATAACTCTTCCAAATTTAAAACGATATTTCCACAATTATTTCTTCTGCGGCAACAACTTGCCTGGTATTAGGTAGTAAAACAATATGTATCTATGTTATTGAACTAGCGCTATTTTTCTTTGAAGTACACTTTAATTTCCTTTGTGAATCACCGAAATAATATATATTTACCCATGTATTTAACTACCGGATGAGGCAAGACCAAGATGTTACTGGCATTTCTAAATGTACCTACTTCTATCATTCCAAATCAACGGGACTACATGAGCGATTGTTTGACCACGACAGTCTCAATCAGTCAGACAGTCTTTAGTGCAGTAAATTAAATACAGAGATTATTATTGTCGTGTGATCAAGGCACAATTTCATTCTTTATTATTTTCAATTAGTACATACCTATTTTTTAAACAGTGAAATCTCGCAGCTAGTAATAGATGGCGGTATAATTAAGCGATGACAATGGTGACGATCTCCGATGAGTTAGATGTTGCCGAACTAGAGGGCGTAAACATGATATTTTACATTTTTTAATATTCACAGGGCCTAATCGTCTTAATGTACCAAATATATTATCAAGAATAAACGAGCAATTGCGTAATCAAACACTGCAAAATATTATCTCCGAAAAAGCCAGTGCAGGACGCAGTACGGTTGTATTAGTGATCAGTCCAAGTGATCAGCTCACTAGCGATGAACTTGAAAGATCCAGAGAACTAATGTATTCCATTAGGTCGACTTACTTCGACGCCTATTTCGTCTATGCAGCTCAGGATTTAACAAACTATAAAAATATAAACAATGAATATATGGACTATTCGGAGATTTTCATTACGGTGAGCACTTAATAAATATCTATCGAAGCTGTTTTTATAACATTCCTTTTTTTAATGTATATTTATTATTTATCTTCAATAACATTCCTTTTTCTTAATGTATATTTATTATTTATTTTCAATAACATTCCTTTTTTATGTATATTTATTATTTATCTTCAATTAAATGCAATAAACTTAGCGCAATCTAAATTTATAAATATTTTCTTCTCTTTCAGTTGACTTCATCTAGTGTGCTAGATGTAACTAACGCTATCGATACATATTTGATAAAATCTGATATTCCGAAGAAAATAGTTGGAGCTCAGTGCCCCATTAATGGCACATGGTATGATCAAGTACCTTATGAAGATGCGATATTGCCTGGTCGGAAGCAATACTATCGCATTCATCCTTTTTACTTAAGACAACAAGCGCGTATACATGTACAGGTATAAAACAGCGCCATCTGTTAGAATGATACGACTATAAATAAAAATATAGCTACGTTGACATGTTTCAAATCAAGGGCATTTTTATTAAGCTTATAAAATATGTAGCTTGTATTAATTTATTATTTAAATTTTGTGTATTCATAATTTCAGTTTCGTAATGATGCTCATGGCAGAATATTGGTGTGCATGTGGCGCGGTGCTGAGACATCACAAAGCTGCCAAATGTTGACTGAACGAGATATATATACGTTTAACCTCACCACACCTTGTCCTTCGCCAGACTTCTGTCCGCCTGCGCACTTTGCAGTGACCATATTGTCTACCTTGAATTCTTGTGCCCGTAAGAACACAGCAAAATAAATAAATATTTTATATGTAAAAATTGCAAAATGTATGCCAAAAAGTGTCGAGAACACACTCGTAGGCCCCGGGGGGATTCGAACCCCCGATCTCCTGTTTACTAGACAGGCGCTTTAACCAACTAAGCCACGGCGCCGTTGAAACAATAACTGAAATTTAATATGAAATACAAATATAAAAAATGACATTAATACTAAACTACGATATCTAAAAAAAAAATTCCCTATTGAATTAGGTAGGTAGATGCCATAAGATAAACAATACTTTGATAAATTTCAACTGTATGGTATGGGAACTAAACTGAAATGACATGACATTTTAAGAGTATGGAACACCAACCCTTAAAAGTCATCAAATTTTAAATTAGTATGCAATGTTTTCCGTCATACCTAGTAACGCTTTGGCAACTATAAATCGAGTTTTTTTTTAATAGCTCCTTAAAATAATTTATTAAATCTCAATAGGTATGCCTATAAAAATTCCGGTGTGCGTGTTCTTAATTTTTGTCCTGTGATAAACTTGACCGATTTTGATGGAATTTTTATTACCTGCACGGTTCTCAACTAAAGTTGGACCCGGTAAGTGGTGCTGTTGACGAGATATTTCTCAATCTCGACAATATTAGCACCCGTGTGAAGCCAAGAAGGATCACTACTAAAATTGTAGATTATATTTGGCCTTTATGTTTTTTATGTTATTATGAGAAGTTATTTAAGTATTACTTTTTTGCAAATAACTTTCAGACGCCGATTGCCGTTTCCCAAATCAAGTTGGCTACTACATACGACATTCGGGTTTTCGTTGCTTCCCGCTGCTCGGTGCTGCAGTCGCATTGTCGCCTGTTTGGAAAGTGCACTTAGGACTTTCTCTTATGATCTCATTTTTGTATTTCAATCAATAAACGTGAATTTAAAAGTACTTCATTGCTGTCATTTTGTCGGCGTAATATTCTTTAAGTTATTTACTTGTGAACTAAATTAACATTTATAAAATTAATTGCATGCATACTTACGCAGTTAATGTGGATATAAATTCCTATATTTAACGTTTATTTGTTAAATAACGTATAAAAAATTTGGATTCAAATTACAATAAACTTGACAGAGGTTTCTTGAATAACGATTTAAGTTTGGCTTTATTTGTATTCGCTTTTATAAAGGTATTCCTGTAGCAATTGTTGCAAGTTTTAAATTTGGACGCATTTGGACGTTACTACTTATAGTACTATAGGTACCTACGTTACGTCTCTTGCAAACTAATACAAGGAATTGCATCGCACCACATTGTTAAATTTAAACTTTAACGTTGGTAAAGAAATATCGGCGATATGATACGATAATACGACGCTAGAGAATCAAAAAATTTGTCAAACTAATAGTGTATTGATATATTAGCTATATTGTCACATAGGGGATATTTGCCCATAGTTGCCACGATTGGCAAGAGGTTAGGAACCATATTTTATTTTCATCTTATTGCCTAGTTAGCGGGAAGGTGCAGCTCCCCATGCCCTGTATCGCGTTCCCTCTATCGCCTCTTACACTCTCTGACACCCACAGGTAAGACCAGGGGCGTAGCTATCGCCGTATCAGCCGTAACAATGATACGGGGCCCCCGGGCTACAGGGGCCCCGAAAAAATTCTAAGGACTTCTATGGGTCAGGATGTTGGTTTGAATTGTTTGGCTAGCTTAGTTCCTAAGTAATAACTTATAATCAATTAATTATTTTAATTCAGTGCGAGAGTTTTTGTTCCTTTTGTAAAAAATCTTTACCCTTCATTTGGGGCCACCCGACAAATTTTGATACAGAGTCCCTCTAAGGCACGCTACTCCACTGGGTAAGACACAACCTCATACCTATCCAACCCATATCAGAATATGTATAATATTGTAATAATACGCATCAAACCGTGTAGTGGCGGTGTAAGAATATCCACTACCCCATATTATCCCGTGGGTGTCTTAAGAGGTGACAGAGGGAAACAAATCAGTCTTCCTAATAACAACTAAAAATTAAAAACTGCGGTTTCCGACCCACGTTCCTAGCGTGGCACAGCTATGGCAAATAGCTCCCCTATGAAGCAATCTATGGGAAAGGCCTATGTTCAGCAGTGGACTTTAATAGGCTGTAACGGTAACGGTAACGCACTAAAAGCCGACATCACAAGGCTTATTATGTTTACAAATCTGTAAACGTTATCTATGAGTGAAGAGTATGAATCATGAGATAAGAAGTGTTTACTTTTTAGTATAACGACAGGCAACAGTTTGTGATGGTAATGGAAAATTAAACATTTTAAGCAATGTGCTAAAAAAACGATGTATAAAAATATACACGCTGATATAAATCCTTTTTTAAATCGTTGACAAGTTGTGTAGTGGCGGAAGAAAATTCAGTACCCCGTACTATCATTATGTGTGTCATTAGAGGTTAGAGACAACAGCGGGAAATGAATTAGGAGATGGGCAGTAACATTTTCAAAATAAATTCTCAATATAATAAAAACTGCGGTTGCAATCCCGCTTGCTAAGCGAGGCAAATGGCAAATCAAATAATCCTATACGAGACAATCTATTGGTGAGGCCGATGTAAACATAGCATAATATAACCTAGCAGTGGCCTCTTAATTCAATTATTAAGACTTAATAGGCTGTGAAGTAATAATAATAACCCGTGCTAAATTAAAATTTTTATATAAACGACTTCAATATGAATATAGTTTATAGTTTATTTCTTAAAAACCCCTCGACCGAAATCCATAAAATTTAAATGGGACCACCTGTGATGTATATACTATACCTACCCTTTAAAAAAAAAAGAGAATTTTCCAAATCGATTCAGGCGTCTTTGAGAAATCGATGAACATACATAAAAAAAAATTCCAAGTCGTTTGAAAATACAAAGTAAAAATATGTCTGGAAAAAATAGCTTTTAGCGATAAAATCGCCCATTTAACACTTTTAACTGTTACTTCTTGTTTTGTTCATATTTTTGTTTTGGATTAAAGAGTTATCTGTCTAATGTCTATCTATCTATTTTCTATCTACTTACATATAACAGTGATGCTAAAGACTTTAACAAGTATGGAGCTATCTGCAAGTGAGATTTAACATTTTGTTCGATCATTCGATACAGTCATCAAGTCATCACCTTTACTCTGCTCATCTTTGTTTCTATTTCGGTCTATGTACAACGAAATGAAAAGTGAAATTCTCTTACGTTGCCTATAAATATTACATATTTCATAATACCAGAACAATAAAATCTTCATATCTCATGCAAACAGCACTCACAATAATTGTTGTTAAAATAATGAAAGGCAAATCTATAGGTGTTAATGACATACTATGTCCATACGTGGTAGAGCTACGCATGTCCTTATCATTTAGTGGCAAAAAAGGCAAATCTATAAGTGCTAATGACATACTACGTCCACACGTGGTAGAGCTACGCATGTCCTTATCATTAAGTGGAAAAAAGGCAAATCTATAGGTGTTAATGACATACTATGTTCATACGTGGTAGAGCTACGCATCTCCTTATCATTAAGTGGAAAAAGAGGCAAATCTATAGGTGTTAATGACATATTATGTCCATACGTGGTGGAGCTACGCATGTTATTATCATTTTGTGGACTCTGTACTAGTTTCTCACATTTATTCTATAAAAATACTCGCGACTTCTGTGTCTAGTGGGCTTCTGCTGGGTAATCTTTTTACGCTTTGAACACTAAGTGTCAAAATCTCTTTCCTTTCCTTGCATAAAATATGTATATATTATATACATGCGTAAAACACAAATATACAATTGTTACTGAATATATAAGCCACCGCTTACTCAGTTTAATTACCAAAGCTTTTAAGAAGATATACGTAGGTATAAAAAAATCGCCGTGTGTTGCGGCTTAAGAAGAATTCATCGCGGCCATTCTGAAGCATACCCTGTGGGTGTGGTAAATAGTCGATTAAGGGAAATTCCAGATTGATCTTGCTGGTTCCGAATGATGACGTTTATACCCTATCTTTTACGTCAGGTGTAAAATACCCAGGCCAACGATGCCACGGTACACGGTGAGCAGCATCAAAAATAGTGCGAGTACATTCTACAAACATTTAAGGGATTTATACCGCTGTATGCCAGTCCCATATCTTATTAAAGTTGGTAAAAATAAGTTTGCTTATATCCGCTTAATGAAATAAAATGATGTGTCTTATCTACTTTTGAACAGCAACTCGCGCCCTCGATCAATTGCGTGCACTATCCTCATCACCACTAATCATCACCACTACTCCCAACACCACTACACTAGGAAAGACACACAACCGTCGATGATACGACACGTGTTTCGCCTCTACACGAGGCAAGCTCAGGTGAAGAGGACTCTGCGGTGGCTGATCGTTAAGATTTGCGGTCAACCACCGCCAGTCAGTAGCTTTTTTGCCAATTGTGAGCATTTCCTCTTCTTACTTTCTTAATTAAAAAATTATTAATATTCTTATTAAATTATGACGAAAATCATATCAGAAACTCATATCAAGAAAAGAGCGTACTCCTTTTTAAAAGGCCGGCAACGGATGTGCAATTCCCTCCCCGGTGTTGCAGTTGTTCATGGGCGGCGGTAGTCACCTACCATCAGGTGAGCCGCATGCTCGTTTGCCCCCTCTCCTATAAAAAAAAGACAACAAAATATGCAAACATTGCATCGCATAAAATTTATAAAATTTTGAATAAAAATGAATCCTATACCCCTGGTGGGACTCGAACCCACAGTGAAGAGGACTCTGCAGTGGCTGATCGTTAAGACTTGCGGTCAACCACCGCCAGTCAGTTGCTTTTTTGCCAATTGTGAGCATTGCCTCTTCTTACTTTCTTAATTAAAATTATTAATATTTTTATTAAATTATGACGAAAATCATATTAGACAACAAAATAACAAAATATGCAAACACTGCATCGTAAAAAATTAATAAAACTTTGAATAAAAATGAATCCTATACCCCTGGTGGGACTCGAACCCACAGTGAAGAGGACTCTGCGGTGGCTGATCGTTAAGACTTGCGGTCAACACCGCCAGTCAGTTGCTTTTTGCCAATTGTGAGCATTGCCCCTTCTTACTTTCTTAATTAAAAAATAATTAATATTCTTATCAAATTATGACGAAAATCATATCAGACAACAAAATATGCAAACATTGCATCGCATGAAATTAAAAAGTTTGAATAAAAATGAATCTTTTACCCCTGGTGGGACTCGAACCCACAATCCCCGGCTTAGGAGGCCGATGCCTTATCCATTAGGCCACAGGGGCTACGACATTTGTGTTAAAATTATGAGAATGTTTACAAATAGTACCAATACAAACTCCCGTCACAGAATAAATATTAGTACTACACTTATCCCCGCGGTATCGTGCCAAGAACGGTGGCTGCGTTACAAGCCCTGACTCCGATAAAGCTGTAAGAGCCGCATAGGCTAACGGCATTAACATCACAGAAACTAGCTGGCTGCGTTTCCCCGCTGAATGGCCAAACTTAGCCTTTAAGCGAGAAAAGAACCAGCCCTCTTATAACCAGCAGCAACGACCAGTCGCGGATGGCGTTCCTTTCCTTTTTTGTTTACTAGAATAGAAATAGAATTTGTTTGATGTCATAATTATAATATTATGACATGAAACAGATTTAAAAATTCATTCCTACTTACCCATTTATATTACATGTATTTGTATTATCATACTTCAAATTATTGTATTCTACATTATTTCTTGGCACGATACCACAGGGAGTAAGATGTATGATAATTAAAATTTTTAGTTTTTGTTTTTCATTATTATAGTTTTTTAATATTGTTTGTACCTTTTAATTAGATTTAATTTTATACTACATATGTTTTAACATTGTAAA